CCCCCAATGATGTCCCCAATGTACTCATTGTCTCCAATGTCCTCACTGTCTCCAACGTCCCCAGTCCTCCTACGTCCCCACTGCACCTGGCTGTGGAGCCACTGCCAATGTTCCTAATCCCCAACGTCCCCCAATCCCCCCAATGTCCCCAATCCCCCAATGATGTCCCCAATGTCCCCAGTGTCCCCACTATCCCTCAACGTCCCCAGTGTCCCCAATCCTCCAATGTCCCCACTTCACCTGGCTGTGGGGCCAGTGTTGTGCTCCCAGCCCAGCCAGCCCAGAGCTCGGGCACGCTCCCACTACAGGAGCACCGGAGCTCTCAGCTTGCAGCAAACACCAGGAAAGGCAAAGGGCAGTGACTGTGCCAGCAGCTGCCCTGCAGGACATTGACCCAGCTGCCTCATCCCCCCAAGCCCTGCTCCTGCCTGCTGGCTTCTTGGTTCTGCTCAGGTCACCCAACAATTTCCCTGACTCACCAAAACCACAAAGCAAACAAAGCTGAAGGGCTCTGCTCAATTCAGACAGGCACCTTCCTGCCCTTCTCAGCCACCTTATAACCCGAGCACGAGGCATGCTGCAGCCAGGCAGAGCTTTGCAACCAAACCTACACAGCCCAAACACCTGCATGCCCATCAATGCTGTGCTCCAGACAATCATGAACCTTCTTAGAAGCTGCCTTCACAAAACCTCACTGACTTTGGTTGAGAGCAGGCCTGTGGGTGACTGAGGGAACATGTGCAGCTGCAGGAGGCTGCAAGTTATGCCAGTAATCCAACACTACACATCATTAAATACTGAAAGTTAACATTACTCAGACCCACAGAGACAACATATTTCTAGGGCACTGTTTTAAAAAGTCATCTCCTCCTGCCAGTTTTCTCCTCTGCAACCCCAGTCACAGCTGTACACTGCAGCTTTAACAGGACACAGGGAATGGCTTCCCATTGACAGAGGCAGGGCTAAATGGGACATTGGGAAGGAATTGCTGGCTGGGAGGGTGGGCAGGCCCTGGCCCAGGGTGCCCAGAGCAGCTGTGGCTGCCCCTGGATCCCTGGCAGTGTCCCAGGCCAGGCTGGATGGGGCTGGGAGCAGCCTGGGACAGTGGGAGATGTCACTGCCTATGACAGGGGGTTGGAACATGATCTTTAAAACCCCTTCCAAGCCAAACAAGTCTGAGATTCTGTGAATTGTCTTCTTTCCTTTCTTCTTAATTTTTCAATCTGCACCTTGTTGCTGTCCATGCACAGGTAACTGCTTTCCTGGATAGCTTTGGCAAAGCACCCTCCCCAAAAATCACAAGCCCAAGTTCACACCTGCCCTTCTCCTACTCTGAATTTGGGGGTTAGATAATTCCCAAAGCCATGAAGAAACAGAAGGAAATGGAGTACTGGAAGTTTTTTACTTTTTTTTTGGAGGAAAACCTGCTATGGACATTCCTCAGTAGTATCTCTCTGTCTGGCATGCCATGTTCACTGGTTATTTAATTCCTACTTTTCCCCTGTGGGGCTGCCAAGCACGTGCAAGGCTGGCCTCAGACTCATCTGACAAGATGCTCCCACCAAGAGCAGGTGGACCATGAGCTCAGCAGGGTCACAGTGCACCAGCCCTCAGAAACCACCTCTGGTTTTACACACACTCAAAACTAAACCCACCACCCCCCAGGCTTTCCTCACACTGATGGTCTCAAGGGGCTCCTCTGTAGCCCCACGACCCCTGAGGAGCTGAAGGTGTGCTCTGGACACTCACCACAGTAGGTGTAGATGTGGTTGGACTCGAGGAACCTGACCTTGAGGTTGTGCAGGACGGCGGGCTCGTGCAGGTAGCTGAGGCCTGTCAGGTCATTCTGCCCCACCAGGATGTCAGGGTTGCGCAGGAAGGGCAGCTCACTCCCTGGCGGGTCGATGGGATATTCATAGAGCTGAGGAGACACACGAGGAACACAAAAAAACAGCAGCTCCTTTAATGGCTTGTAGCTTTTCCAGGCGTAACTCCTGCTAGTGTTAAACACTGACACACTTTGCTCTTTAATTTTAAATTAAATTAAAAGCCCCTTGGTGCCAGGTCAACCCTCTGGTAATGGCTTTGAGCTGATCACCACATGGTCCTGGTGGGCACTGATGGTCCATGAGCACCAACCTGGCCACACCTGAGTCATCTTCAGGCCAGCCTTGGGACAAACAGCCTTCAGCCAGCTCTGAGCAGTGACAGCAGCAACAGAAACCCACAGCTTCACCTGATATAAGCATCTTCCTGCTCTTGGAAAAGCAGCCTCATTCTGAACTAGACCATGCTTTTACCATCAGAGCAATTTCTCAGCTCATTTTTAATTCAGGTTGCTTTTATACCTGAAACCTGGCACCCCTTGAGGCAGAGAGGACATGGAGAAGCACGGAGTCCCTGCTGCTGAAGTGTCTGAGGAGCCAGGTTACACTGCTGAAGTTGGCATATGGGCAGCCTTATGCTATTTTTGACTCATTCTCAAATGAGCAACAGAACCATCAACTAAAGAAAAACTGCAATTTTTTTTCTTTACAGAGGAGGGAAAAAAATTTCCAGTGATGCTGCTTCCCACAGGGTGCCTCAGAAGGGAGGCCTGATGCTCAGCTCCCATCAGAAGGGAGGACTCCCAGCTTCCAAGCAAAACCACTGTGACTGCCCTGGATCCCTGCCTGTGCAAACAGCTCAAGGAAGGCTGACCCAAGTGCACGAGGAGAGGCTCCCTCAGCGTGTCTGACAACCTCAGACTGGTTTTATCCACACAGTCAATGCCAATTTTCAAGAGTTTGCACTCAGTCTCTCATCTTAATGGCAAACACACCAGGGATGCCCTGTGATATTTAACAGCCAGCTCCTCATTCAGAGGGAGCTCTCGTGCATACAGAGCAGAGCCAGGAGCCACAAAACCCGTGAAGACTCACTTAAAGCACAAGGACAAAAGGAAGCACTGAACAGCTGGGTAATGCATGGTGGCTGTCAGGAACAAAAGGCTTTCTACAGCTTTGAATCCCCTGAAGGTACGTGTGCTGGGTATCTCCAACCTGATGCACTCAAGCACTGCTCCCCTTTGCCAGAGCTTTTCAGTCCAACATGACACAGATCCAGGCAGGACTTCATACAGGAAAGCATCAAACAGGGCAATCCCAAAGACCTCAGGCCTCTTGCACAACCCCAAAATGAGATGTTCCATGTTTCCCCATGATTGTGACACGCTTATTAAGCTACTACCTACAACAACTGGTAATCCTTTCATCACCTTGTACTTTAATGTTGCTGATCCTGAACTCAGCTCAGCTGCACAAAAGGATTTGACCTTGCAGGGCTCCTCAGCCCCTTTAGTTTCCAGGGAAATACCCAGATTGAAGAGGAAAAAAATAATTCCTGCTGAAGTATTCAAACTGCAGGAGATCCCAGCCAGGAGGGGAGGATGGGGGTTGTAGCACCCAGGAATAGGAGCAGGTGTACTTTGGCAGCCTGAGCACAGGTGGAAGACAGGAGCTCCTGTGGGTGAGATGGGCACCCAGGCACCCATCAGTGCCCAGCCCTGGCTCCAGCAGCACAAGGAGCTGGAGCTGCTGCAGCCAGTGCAGAGGAGGCCACGGAGATGCTGCCAGGGCTGGAGCCCCTCTGCTCTGGAGCCAGCCTGGCACAGCTGGGGCTGCTCAGCTGCACCAGAGAAGCTCCAGGGACACCTGAGAGCCCCTGCCAGGGCCTGCAGGGGCTCCAGGAGAGCTGCACAGCCCCTGGGGACAAGGCAGGCAGGGACAGGACAAGGGGGAATTACCTTAAGCTGTAGGACAGTAGGCTTAGGTAAGATATTAGGAGTAAGTTCTTTGCTGTAAAAGCAGTGAGGCTCTGGCCTAGGGTGCCCAGAGCAGCTGTGGCTGCCCCTGGATCCCTGGCAGTGCCCAAGGCCAGGCTGGATGGGGCTTGGAGCAGCCTGGGACAGTGAAAGGTGTCCCTGCCCATGGCAGGGGGTGGAATGGGATGAAATTTAAGGTCCTTCCAACCCAAACCATTCCACAATAAAATGATGATTCTATGCCTAGTGCTTCCAAGGGGTTGCAGGGTGGCATCTGTGCACCTCCTCATCCAGATTTATCACTGTGGAAGGTAAAAAGGCATCAAGCATCCTCCATCCTTTATCCTCCCCAGAAAGCTGCCCTGTGCTGGAAGAGCAAACTGGGCAGGACAACAAAAGCAGCTGAGACCAAGCCAGGAAAGGAGCAACAGCACCAAGCACTGGGTGCAGACCCCAACATCAACAACGTTCTCTGCAAACCTGGCACAGTCACACACTGCCAACAGCCCGAGCTGGAGCTGCTCTGAAAGAAAAACTGCTTTGACAAACTGCCTCATCAACCACAGCTCGTTCCTGTTCTCCATCTTCCATCAGGCAATGTGGTGAAAATGTTCCCCACAGTGGGGAAACGTCTGGTGTGGAGGGGATGGGAATCACCCATCCTTCTCAGCACATATGGATCTGTAGTGGGTGGTCTCTGCTAACTCTGCCAGGCAATGGAGCAGATCACACTCTAGACAGCTCAGGAAACCCCACCTGCTCACTGAAGAAAGATGGTTTAGGTGCAATTCTTCATGAAAAATGTATTTATTCTTCCTGCTACAGCAGGCAGCTCGTGGTGGGCACACAGCACGGCTGCTCCCTTCCCATAAACTGAATTTGCAGCTGATGCAAATGCCGTGGTTAACTTCATCTGCAATTCCCTGCTGTCACCCAGTGTCCCACCCCAGGAGGCTCTGTGTGGAACAGGGAGCAGCTGCTCCTCCCCAGCCTGTGTCCTGCTCTGGGGATGATTAATTGCTGGCTGCACTCACGCTACAGCCCGGGCTGTTTGCGCATTTGGAACCAGCGCGCGGCTAGAAAACATCTACATTTAAATGAGTTTTGTGTTTTTCCCTTTTAAAAGCTTTCATAATTTAAAAAAGAAGCAGAGAAAAAAGGAGTTTATGTAAGAGTATGCTCAGGGAGGAAAACTGAGGTGTGGAGAAAGCTGTGGCACAGCAGCCCCCTCTGAGCCGTGTGTGGGTTTTCCATCAGCACCCGAGGTTGAGTGGATGCCACCAGCCGTGCTCTCCACAATTTGTTCAGCAGCAAAAAGCACAAACTGGCACTTCTGACATACTGCTGCTATTAAAAAAATACATCCTGGTATCACAGACTATTACCAGTTTGCCAGGAGATGAAAAGAGATGATGGAGGTCAAGGGCTTTTCTCGCAACCTACTGTAACACAAGTGTCTAGGGAGGGAGCAGGCAGGGAAAAAGTGAAAGTGTTGAGGCAATAAAACACATTTTAAACCACTTCACAGAAACTATGAAATGGCTCAGGCTTCTTCACACATTAATTCGAAGCTTTAAATTGCTAAAAAGAATAAAGCTTACAGTTTCATCTTCAAGTTTCAGCTGGAGGCTTTTATCTCCTTCTTTGTAATCCTTGATAATTTCAGCCGATCTCCAAACTTCATCAGGGTCAGGAATCCAAACCCTGGTGTACTGGAGAGGTGGAAAAGAAAAGAAAGAAAAAGTTTAAACACTATGAAACCTCGGGAAATTAAATGAGAAATAAATTAATTCTCCATTAATACAGCCTCACACTTACTGTAAAGTCAATGCAGCTAAACCACTTATTTTAGTAAAAGAAAAAATAAATCCAGTTTTAGTTCTTGGGGTTAATTACAGACCAGAAGTCTAATTTTTCAGTCTAATTTTCTCCTGGACAAGGTGTACACTCACTCGTTACCAATTTAGCAAAGCAGGATAAAGTGTCAAGGTAAACGGGGAATTTAATTTCCCTGGGAAAAAAAAAAACCAACCCAGCTTTCCAGAAGGCTTTTATGAAATAACTCAATTCACCCCCAGCAGTCCCTACACCAAAAAGTGTTTATTTTGCTCAAAACAAGGCAGTTTGGTCCCCACAGAGCAAGCCCTGACCCAAACCCACTGCCACAGACAGAGGCAGGAAAATGAGGACACCAAAGCCAGCTCCTTCAGCTGGAGGTGAACACACAAACAGGCTCCAGGAACACACTTGGATTTAAATGAATTCATGAATTAGGTTAAATTTAACCTTTTTTTTTTGCATCTACAAAGCCAGGGCCACCAAGGGGGAAGCCTCAAGGCAGCCCTGTGCAGCCCAGCTCAGGGAGCCAGGCTGGTGCTGGACTCCTCCTGTCAGAACCCAGGATATTGCTCTGGCTGCCCTGCAGGACTCAAGACCCTGGCACAGGGCTCAGACACCTTGGCACAGAGTCAAAGACACCTGTGTCTTTGATTTTAACCCATGGAAACAATCATCAGCTTTGTGCGAAGAGTTACAAGCCACAAAAGTTTGAGTACAATGATAGTGAATTTATCACAGGGTGAAAATGTAGAATTTTGGGATTTTCAGAATGGGGGCTCAAGAGGAAAGATGGAGGAATCTGGGCATGTCCAGTCTTTCTCCTTCTTCTTCTTGTCCTCCACCTTCTGCTGTGATGGTGACACTTTTAGATTGGTTTAGGATAGAGACAGAGTGTCTAACATAGGTGCTAGGTATTGGAAAGTTATTGTAAATAAAGTGCACATAGTTTTTTAGTATAAAAAGATAACACTGCCCTGAGGGTGGTCAGTGTGCTTCTGTGTGACCTGCTGGACAGACCTCAGTGGGTCAGAAAGAGAATGTACTAGATAAGAGCAAATAAAGAACCTTGAAAACCTGAGTTGAGGAATCTCGACTTTTTCCTCGAGCTTGGGGCTGGGAAAAAAAAGACTTTTTAATACCTTGGGAGCCATTTCAGCAACAACAAACCCGTGATCCTCCAGCCCACAGAGCCAACAGGAACCCTCCAATACCCACAGATTTACTGGCCCTTTGGGGCAGCTCTCCCCCCTACTCCTCCTGCTGATTGAAGTGGGAGCTGCAGAATCTTATTCCTACTCAGAGCTCCAGGGGCTGGGGGAAGTCCCAGCCAGCCCAAGTGACAGCAGCCCCAGATCCCCAAAAGTGGTTTTGGCCTTCATTCGAAACCAAACCCCAGCACACAATGTCCAAGCAACATTTTGTGGCAACCAACGAGTTAACACAGCGGCAGCCACCACCTGACAGGCCACTTTGCAGCTGAAAAGCAATAGATTTTTATAGTTATCACACGTAATTATTTTTAGAGCTGCTCAATAGCTACAGCAGCAGGAACCTTTAGATGTTAATGGAGCCACACAATCGTATTCCCAGAACAACAGTTTTACCAGGGAGTGGGGGAGAAAGATGTGAAAACTTGAATTTTCTCAGCACACCAGCTCTAGCACCTCATGGGCCTTCAGTGCTCTCCCTGACACAAAGAAGGGAGGCTGCAGTGGGGAAGGGGCTGGTTGGGGTCCACTGTGGATTCATCCAGTGCCAGCTCTCTGCTGGCAAAAAGTGAGATTCAGACACGCTCTAGAGGTGCCCAAAATAGCCAAGGATCAGGATGTACCCGGCTCAGGGCAGCTTCAAACACAAGGTGTTGCTGGTCTTGGCAACCTTGCAAATGTTCCACCTGCACACGGGGCTGGGCTGAGCCCTGGCCCTGCCTGCACTGGTGTCTGCAGACAGGGACACACTGACCCCAGAGCAGCCTGGAACGGGGGAACCTATCAACACTTAGGGGATGAAACCTGGGTACAGCTCCAGCAGCAGCAAGAGGTCCCATGGGCCACCCCCCTCAGCAATTCATCACCAGCCACGGCCAGGAGCCACCCAGGTGTGACAGGAGGGTGACAGCTCTCAGCACCCAGTGCCCACAGCCTGCTGGTGGGAGGCTCCACAGCCCACCAGCCACCTCACCACAGCACTACAGAGGAGTAGTAATAATAATAACAATTATTATAATAATTATAATAACTGATTTTCCCAGACTTTGTGCACACACGTGCAAGGAGCCACACAGGACAGAACACACCACACAGGACAGAATGCACCACGCAGGACAGAATGCACCATGCAGGACAGCATGCACCATGCAGGACAGTATGCACCATGCAGGACAGCATGCACCATGCAGGACAGCATGCACCACACAGGACAGCATGCACCACACAGGACAGAACACACCATGCAGGACAGAATGCACCACACAGGACAGCATGCACCATGCAGGACAGCATGCACCACACAGGACAGCATGCACCACACAGGACAGGATGCACCACGCAGGACAGAATGCACCACACAGGACAGAACGCACCACGCAGGACAGAATGCACCACACAGGACAGCATGCACCATGCAGGACAGTATGCACCATGCAGGACAGCATGCAGCACACAGGACAGAACGCAGCGCACAGGACAGAATGCACCAGGCAGGACAGAAAGCACCAGGCAGGACAGAGGTGTTTGCAAGGCCCCAGGGGCCCTGGGGACACCCTGGCTGGCAGATCCCAGCTGTGGTCAGGCACTCCCCACACCGAGGGGGTGGCCAGGCAGCTCCCAGCCTGCTGCAGAGCCGGGGGCTGTTAGCACAGGCTGCTCGCTGTGAATGAATGCAGCTGCCCAAGCATCTCTAATGCTGTCCTGTGGTGCGTGCACACGCACACACGCGGAGAGGGGAGCACCATTCATCCCGCTGTGCTCCTCCCCTCCCTCTGCCCTCCCGCACAAACCCCCATCCCAGCCCTCCCTTCCAGCCATAAATCCCAGATATGTCAGGCACACGCTGCTGGAACCCAAGCACTTTGTCACGGGCCCATCTTCACAAGGCCAGCGGTAGCTGGAGCCTGAGGAGGCTGGGGCAGCCCTCAGTGGGGCCACGCTGGGCTCACCACCCTCACTCCCCAGCATTCCCTGCCCCTGACCTCTGCAACCTGCTCCCCAAAACTGCCTCACACCCCCTCTTTTTGACAAACCAACCCACTTGGGTGAGAGGGTCACCAAAACCCGCCATGGATGGGGAGAGCATCCCTGTGATCTGCTGCTTCCATAATCACATTTCCAGCATCATTTCATCACACCACGAGCCTTGTCCAGGCATCCTGAGAGCTTTAACAGCCTCCTGATCTGCTGGAGGAGCTTGTTTTAAGGGAGAGGGCACACGGCCCCATCTCAGAGCACTGGGGATGAAGGATTAACCTGACTTTGGGCTCAGGAGACACAACCCTGGGCAAGCCACTCAACCTCCAGACTCTCTAGGGTTTCCATACATTTTCTCTTTTTTTAATTTGTTTTTTTAAGAAAAAGATCCCTTCAGTCCTCAAGGATGCCTTTAAACAATATGCTAAAATTAACTAGAAATATCTCTGCATGTTCAGTCTCTAAAAAGAAAAGTCTTTTTTTTTAAACCTGGTTTACTTTGTGATTTTTTTTCTTTAAACAGATCCCCAATAAAACTAAAGCCATACAGTGCTCTCACTGCCTCTTGCATGATTCCACACAGCTTAAGCAGAAGCTTAATAAATTCAATCCCCACCTCCTGATTTGATTTAGATTTTAGCAGGCTGCCGCTGCGGATGCAGATTAAAACCAACATTAAATTAGAAGAGGCAGGTCTTGTTTTACTGTTTCAAAGCCCTCGGTGCTGGCCAAAGGCACTCCCAGCAAACTGTGGGCAGCGTGCTCCATCTCAGCCAGGAGAGATGCAGGCAACGAGTTACAACTCCACGGACTGAGCATCATTCTCATTACATTAAGAAAATTGTATAATCTTCCATTAGGTAAAAAAATATTAAAAACTAGGGATCTCAGCTTCGTCTGGGCTGTTTGGCTGCTGCAAGTCTTCACGGAGAGCTGGACGTCAGCAAATCCATCGTTATATTGCTGGGTTTTTATCCCCTGAGTTATTTCAGGAATGCCAACACTCACAGCTGACCCCCGGGAAGTTTTCATTGCTCCTGGGTCAAGGGCATTTTTCCAGGGGCATCCTTCCAACAAACTGCAGATAGAGGGAGGGCACAGCAGCAAACCCAAAATGAAATAAATGATAAATAAAATAGCAGCAAAATATTGCATTTTCATGCAATAAAATAGCAATAACTAGTAAAATAGCAATTCCCCTCACCACTGCAAATTCAGTAACAGGGATGAAGACATAGTATGTCATGACAAAGGTTCTTCCATGCAGGTTAAGAAAATCCTATGGAAGGACTTTATTGAAAACAGAAACAGTGATTTAAAAAAAAAAAAATCAAAGGTGAACGCACAAATGTTAACTAGCACAAGGTGGAAATCAGGACAAATCTCTGTATATTTTTCTCTGTAAAGCAAGCACACTTCTACTTTTCTCCCTTTGCAGTGGGTTTATTGCTAACCTAATTCTATATTGTTCTGTGTCCAGTATGGCTGGGTGCTTTCAAACAGGGTAAAAAATACACACAAAAGAAAAACCAGCCCAAATGTCAGCCCTGGCTTCCCGAGAATATTTATATTCACACAACCAGCATGTGAATGGTTAAGCCGCTTACACTCAAACAGACCAACAACCACCTTCCAGCTCTCACTCACAAGCTATCTATTACTAAAACTGAGGTTTTCCCAAACTGTGC